AATCTCCTGACATGAACCACATTGAAAAACTCTGGGCCATACTTGACTGGCAAGTCAAGAAACAACAAAAAAAACAACTTCGAAAAGCGATCTACTCAAAGTTTTGAAGCAAGAGTGGGCGAAAATCCCACCATCTAAAATTGACGAGATGATTATCACGATGCCCCAAAGGATCAACGAACTCCACGAAGCGAAAGGAAGATCTATTAGATATTAATTAAATTATAAGTATATCAATTCATGTGAATATGACTGAAAAATTTCATTTTTTTCTGAAAAGGTGGTGTCTATTTACTTGTGACCATGCTGTGTACATTGGAAAAGGTTGGAGTCAAATCATGAGAGACACAGGTTTTTTAGAAATTATTCAGGATGGTTTTCTTCAATAACTGGTTAGTAATCCTACTAGGAACAATGCTAATTTAGATTTAGTGTTAACTTGTAATACAGAAATGATTGACAAGATGAAAATTCGGGAACATCTAGGTTCAAGTTACCATTGACCAATCATATTTTATGTTTTACTGTATATAGAGATAATGAATAATGATATTTTGGTTCCAGATTTAAAAATCAACAACACATTTTGAAGAGATGAGACAAGATTAACCTACTGTGAACCGGGCAACTGAATCAATTTGAGAGAGTGATCAAATGTGGAAAATATTTTTAAATAAGTTCTTAAATATTCAAGATAGGTATGTTTCCTACAGGAAAAAAAAAGGTGGCTACAAGTAAAAAAACCAGGTTGACTCATAAAGGGTATAAAGGATAAAATTAAAGAATAGCATTATAAATACAAGAAACTTGTATTGATTGTGATGATGGAAGATTTGGAAGATTATAGAAGATGAAGAGAGTTGGTCAAATTGGAAATTATGGAAACAAAATAAAAAAAGGTTGGCAGAAAATGTACAAATTAACAGTATGAATTTCTTTAACTACATTAAGACAAGCCTCGACAAATATTTTCAGATCTAGGAGCCAGCCCAAAAACTTAGGAGCCAGGTCTGATATAGAAATGTTATGGAACATATTTTGAGTTGGTTGTGTGGTTACGGCACAAGACATACAGTTTTACACAAAAAACAAGGGGTTCATTATTAAACTTTATTATATAACATATACTAAAGTTAAACTTGAATATGTGCAATTATTAAAATAGTAGACTAAATAACTATAACTTAGGTAGATTCTAGCAATAAAAGAAAGTAAAATACAAATAATCACTGTGATATTAATAGGCCAAGCAGGTTGTTTCAGAATAGGTCTAATCTACTCATCAATACAACACTGTACAATGATAAGCAAAGGCCTTTTGGTGTGACTAACTTAACTTCACTACTGTTTGTCCTGGGAAATGGGGGCTATATGTATTTATTTACTTTCACAGCAACAAGTGCATGCTAATGATCACATGATATCAACAACCACCTGATAGTATTGCCTGAACTAACTGCCTTTGGTCACGTCTAAGTCTAAACACTCGCACTGATTGTTTGAATTGAGAGAAAGAAGAAAAACAAAATGGCGTGAAATTAATAACATTTTTTGCAACCACAGTCACTTCATTCCTGATAAAACATGAAGTGTTGAATCTGCCATTAAAATCCAAGTGACAAAGTTCATTT